AATCTCAAACCTATGTAACAAAATCATAAAATTATGGTATAATTTAATAATAATAATAATTATTATTATTATTCATTTTATGCAGGTATACAAAGGAGTGATGGTAAATCTTCCGAATATAAAAATCGGGAATATATGTGTACCTAAAATCAGAAATAGGCTGGCTTGAATGAAATCAAATATATATTGTATCCCGAATTATTCGTCACTCAGCATATGGCAAACGAAGGAAAAAGAAATGAAGACGCTTTCTTACTATGCATCCTTATTGCAAAAAGATCTTTATCGAACATGTAAGAGCATCTTCAAGTCAGCCATTAGGCAATCAGTGAATACAGGGCTTGTGGTAGAATCTAGCAAGGGTCGAGCATCAAGTAGGCAGATATGTTTTTACAGCAAGACATATAGCCTAAGCATGATATGAAAACTGAGATAAAACGAAAGTTCCATACTAGTTCACTAAGTCATCAGCGTACAGGATACAGTTTCAAGATAGATAAAATAGGGTTGAATCTGATTGAAATTGAGAATATATAAAGGAGATTGAACAAAAAATGCGCAATTAAGGAAATTTTCCGAATAAATCTTTAATGCAAACGTCAGTTTAAAAAGACACAAAATTCCGTATATTATGAAAAAATATCGAACTTATCTTAATTATATAGACCAAACAGCCTAATAAAAACTGAGGAACCTCTGCTCAAGAAAATAACTCAATATGCCTAAGAATTAAAGCGAGTCATTTCAATCATTTAACCGACGATACTAAAGGTTATTTTGTTTAAGACCAATCCCACCTTCGACACAGGCAAGAATTCCATGTCCAAGCAGAGGTTTTCTATTGTGCAGCCGAATATTTCACATTCCAAGAGATTCAGTCTCTCATTTAAATCCAAACTTTGGTCGGCAAATGTATTGTATCTGATTAGAGTATTGTTATCCCGTTGATACGATTGATGCGAGAGACACTCTGAGTTGGAGAGAAGACGCTGTCGACGATAGAGATAATGAACAATTTGCCGCAAAAAACGACCACGCTCTGGGTATATTTGCATAAGATCTTCCATACCAAGCAAACCGGCCAACCAGTGTTTGGGTGCCTCTGGGAGATCGAATGCAGAGAACGAGACTGGAGAGAGCTTTGGCTGTTTAATAAATAAATAAATATGTTTATATGTGTATATGTATAGAAAATATACAAATATAATATAACATAAAAAATAACATAAAGCATTATGAATATGGTAAGATTTTAGTTACATTTTGGTAGACCCTTACTTCTGCTAATGGTATCACCTCATCTTCGTTAAATTTGCCCTGTTTCTCCAATTCATCTTTATCTATTTCTTTGCTTTCTAAGAATTCCTCTTCGAAGAAATCAGTAAGCCAAGGATTAGCTGGATCAGGACGAAGATAGTCAGCATATGACTCTATTTCGACCAGTTCATGGAGTTGAGGGGAAATTATATCAGAAGAAAGATCAGTCGCACCCATATCGCCGGACAATGGATAGTTTGTAGATGCCTGCTGGAGATAACCCCTCTGGGACTCAGAGCTAAATGATGCAAAAGGTGGAGGACGTTTGGCCGAAACTGACGAGAGAGGCAGCCGACCGTAGGTAGAGATGAGCTTTAGGAAGGGTGGGGAAAGAGGCAGATCTATGCGCCGAGAGTCCTAGAAGAAGAGGAATAGGATTAAAAGATAAATGCTTTAAATCTAGACAAGACATAAAGATGTAAAATTGATATATATATATATATATATATATATGTATGTATGTGTGTATATGGAAAACTGAGAGAATTAAGCAATCGACGTATGGGTGGTACATTTGTGCACCGGACAAACAAGTGTAACGAGCCTTTGAATTATTGTTTTGAAAAACCCTTCCGTTTGTAATATATAAATAAGCACTAAAATAAAAGGCTTTAATTGAATATTTTGAGAATAATAACTAAATACAAAGTAAAAAAATCATCCTAAAAGTTCTAAGGGAAAATTAAATTTCAGAGCTGTCATTAATACATCTAGGAAGAAAAGTTGGGTTTCGAGGAATCTTTTGTTTCATTATTATTGATCTTACTTCTATTTCGAGTGAAAGTGCTGGATGAAGAGATTCAAAGGTCGGTTCCACCAGAAGACGACGAATTCCTCTTGACCAGCTGTCGATTGGCTTTACTGGAGGATTCATGCTGACGTTGTTTCCGAGGTAATCTCCTTTGATTTCGGTGAAAAGGTGGTAAGCTTTCGTCCGTCATATGACGAACATCAACAGAGCAAGGTATCATCGTCACAACAAAATTTAAGCTAACGAGTCAAGAAAACTCACCGACAAATCCCTAAAAAATAGTATATATACTCTATACATCTGGCCTCTGATCAAGTATAAAGTAATTTGGTTAGTTAAGGTCATATGTAAACTTCGAAGGCTGTGAGTGTGTCTGTCTCTGTATGTTCATGTGCCTGTTTATGCTCGCTTATGTACGAAACCTGGTTATACAAAAACCAAGAAATATATATCCCGGCAAGTAAATACTATAAGATTTTTAAAAATGTGTATTTCACATAATGCAGTTCCTACATGTTGTATTCTTGGTAGACGTTCAGATTTACCTATTTCTACTAATATGAGACTGGAGCATATATCAGGTGGTTTGGTTAAGACTAAATTCAAAGAAAGCATAGGCAAGTTACATGACCTGAACAGAACCAAAACAAGGATTAGACTATCCCTTTCTCAGCTATTTTCTGAAGACTTTCTAAAATTGGAGAAAATGGCCGACGGGTTGGCACCTTTTCACCTGAATCGAAGGATATTACCTCGGAAACAGAGTCAGCATGAATCTTCCAGTAAAACCAATCGACAACTGGTCAAGAGGAATTAGCCATCGTCTTCTGGTGGAACCGACCTTCGAATCTCTTCACCTAACACTTTCATTTGAAATGGAAGTAAGCTCAATAAATACATCTGTTGGATGGTCATTGTAAATTCAAGTACATAAAAACCAGAAATAAAGAGGAATTGTAAAGCCAAAAATATATTACGGTATCAAGTGAGTCTTGGGCTTCATACATCAGATGAAAATGAGATCCAATTATGGAAAAAATAAATATAATTACAGTTATCAACAGTTTTTCCTGAGCATATTTAATTAAACGAAATGAATCCAAAAATTATAGGAAAAACGTAAATGGTGAACTACCACCATGAAGGAATATCAGTTAATACAAGACAAGTCCTGAATTAGCGTATTCGACGTAGCATAAACATCATATAGTGGAAGGTAGGAAGACCAAAAAGGTTTGGCCTCTAGTATGATCGCGATCTACTTTAATTTTATATGAGTTGTTTGTTTTAGCAACTTAGTCATATTGTCATGAAGACCTAAGGGAGTGCATCTTGTCCGGAGTTCATAAAATAAATAACTTCCATAGTCAAATCCTGGACTTTGTACATTCCCAGACGTTTCACCAGCACCGTCAGTGAGCCTTGCCATTTTCAGAGCCATACCAAAATTCATAAAAAAGACAACTATATCCACCCCCTAGGTGAATGGACCAGGACAGAGAGAGAGAAGAGACAGGACAAATATCACAACAGTTGAGCAGAAAATTGGTCAAAGGACTTCACTTGTCTCTTTGAAGAGTTGTCGTATAGTGCTAAAAATGATAAGGCTCACTGAAACTATCGACTACGATGCTGGCGAAAAGTCTGGGAATGTAGAAAGTCCATAGTCCGACTCTGGAAACTATCCTGCTATGGACTCCGGACAAGGTGCGTCCTTCTAGTTCAAACAACTTCTATACAATATAACGGAATTTATCAGCACAATAGGTAAGATAATTGATAAAAGACTGATGAGATATCACAGATAAATATGGGAAATCCTTAAGGGCTCAATTAGGTCAGCTTACCTGTAGACACTTCGCAATCGTAATGCCCATTATATGAAACTTGTAGAGTACTATTTCAGGCACCAAATCACCAGGAACAGGAGCAGGGAAGAGCCCATTCGGCATTGACACATAGGATACAGACGAAAGCAGGTCATGAGCTGGTGAGACATCAGAGAGCGCACCTATAAGTTGATCATTGCAGGCTGGTAAGGGAACAGACATACGAACTTCTGAATTGATGGTGGATGTGGGTGCGCCGGCCAAAGTGGTTTCAGGATAATCGGTCGTAGTTGGATGCAAATTTGATTTTATTGAGGTGGCATCTACTGCGTAGGGATCTTGAAGAGAGTCGTCTGTAACCCAAAGAAGAGCATCGCGACGCTGGAATTCAAGTGCCATCAAGGAGAAAAATTCAAGAGTAGGGCCGAGTCCTGTGCCTGCCTCATCTGTAAATAAAGGCATGTGTAAAGATTAGTCGTGCAAAAGAAGCAGAAAATACTAAAAAAAACAGTTTTTTAATACGAAAAAGCATATAGGCCAATGTTATTAAGCATTGTTTGAGACATTGGTCAGCCTAAAAGAATAATTTTTATATAGTAAAAAATGCCAACAGATAAAAATAAAGAGTTAACTATATTGAGTGATGACATATAGAATCTTTATCTCTAGACTAGATAGAAATCATGTATAAAAGAGATCCTCAATAGTTTAAAGCCCCCGCCATAAAATAGTTGAGCCTATAGGTCTTAATTTAATTTGGGCCATTTGGATTATTATTCAATAGTCACATGATTGAGAATAATGCCCTCCATAAGACAACCTGATTTACTAGATTTTAGACATATTATGCCATACATGAATTACATGACTACGTTCATTGAATTCCACAAAATTGAGTTCGAATTAATAAACTACATTTGGCTAGACGAGAACAAATGAGAAGCAGTCGAAGTTGGAAGTCATGATAAATAAAATTAATCTGATAGCTGATTAAATTAGGTATTGCAGTTCAAAGCTTTTTTCTCTGTTAAAGCATCCACGCTGCTTCATTAGGATGAAATATTTCGTTTCAGTTGAGATACGCTTTTCCTTTGTAGCTGCGAGTTGGTTATTCCTATGAATGAATGATTAGGGCTAACAATTTTAGAATCAAGCTTTTCTGACAAAAGTAAGTCGAGCTTAAATCTCAGTTTAGTTCTGAAAGAACTATCAAAATAATTTTTAAAACAAAGAAATATGAAAATGCTAAGTCTAACTTACTCAAAAATTGTATTTCCAACTCTGATTTTCTTTCGGCATGCTCCTCCATCACTTGAGCAGCCCAATCCCAGAAAGTAGTATGTTTACAGTCGTTTTTTTCAAAGGTATAAGTCTCACAATGTGCACCACCTTCTAGGATGGCTTCTGTACTTTTACTGCCATTTAGCAAGGCCGAATCCTCAGCTGCTGGGGCTCTAGGGATGCGGATGAACTCTTTGTGTAGCCGACCAACTTGGCCTCCCATCACACCAGCCTCCAAGCCCCCACTAAAGGTGGAATCTTGATCCACCCCACTAGCGACAGCGGAGATATTCGAATTTGAGCATGGCAAAATAAAGAGGCCTAAGTTGCCGGCACCTGGAAGGTGGGCAGTCAGCCGTGAAGTATGAGGGGAGGCAGAGGTATCATGCAAGCCAAATAGAGAGATTGTGTTCTTTGATGCATTAGTAAGTAGTGTTTGGGTAGATGGAATCGAAGACGGCAGAAAGGCGAAACAATTAGTGTTGTCATGAGGTAAATGAGATCTAGCATTATTGCTATTGTTGGCACTCTGATGATGGCTGCTTCTTTTCCAAGCCAAATTAAGAAGGCCAGGGGAAAGGAATACGCCCGATGAAGCTGCAGTAGATCTAGAGCCACTCGCTTCGCTATCCTTCATACTAGATGAACCAGCAAACGTCCCGACGTTCGCTATTCCAGTCAAACTGGCCAAAAGATTAGTCAAAGGGCTGAGGAAATTTCCTGATCTGTTTGATGAACCAGGTACGGTAGCAATAGCGCTGCCATTGCTAGTTTTGCCATTAAGAACGGCGACCAGCGCAGTAGCTAGGTGACTAGAGTCACCGCGTCTGAGACCTCCAACACTAAGCCCCGGAACCAGAAGGCCAGCGAGACTTCCACGTTGATTAACCCCACCACCAGCCAACTGACTAATTGAAGGATCACCACTGGAAGTCATGGCCGTCTGGCCTGGCATCGGAGGATGGATATTTGGCCGATGATTATTTTGAAGCCATATGACAGCTCTAGCAAATAACAAAAATACATCAAGGAAAACGTATTTTACAGAAATAACATAATTCCAGGAAACTAAAAAAGCATTAAAGAAGTATTCGAAAGGTAACTGTAATAAAGGCTATGGATAGTATGATATCCATATTTTTATAAAATTCAAGTACAAAGTTAATACAGGAGAATTAATTGGCAGCAAAAGGAACAATAATGAAGGAATATCAACTAAAAGAGGTGACGAGTGAACACCAATGTGCTATTAAGACAGAAAAGTATTGCTATTCTGGGCATGGATGAAGAATTATTTAATAACAAGCCTCTGCTTTTATATATTAAGTTTTTTTAAAAACTATTAAAAAATAAATACTTGTTTGAAGGCTTAAAACTGGAACATAAAACAATGGGATGAATATAGAAAAATATGCCTAATCACAACATTAATTATCTACTCGATAATAAACGACATCAGTTTCATAGCCTCATATTTCATCGAAGATATGAAGACCAAGATAGCCTTTTGTGTGGTCGCAGTCTCCTTTCGTTGTATAGAAGTTGTTTGACCTTGTTTTCGCAACTTGGTGATAATGGTAGGAAGACTTATATGAACTCACCTTCTCCTGGGTCTATTGTATGCATAATTATTTCCAAAGCCCGACCGTGGACGTGGTACATTCCCAGATATTTCGCTGGCATCGTAGTCGGCATCGTCAGTGAGTTTTACCATTCGTAGAACTATGTTACAACTCGTGAAAGAGACAAGTAAAGCCGATCCTTTGACCAAACGTGGGCTAAACAGTTATGGTATCCCCCGTTCTGCTTAAGCCTATTCACATTTCCTATATCCTCCAATCACGGCTTCACTGTCACAATATTTTACTTGCTTAATTAACTGTGGTACGGTGTGCCCTGTTAAGCGGCTTTCATGAGAACCCTCCGCACTTCACGCTGACCTTCTCACCGCCCTTCATCCTTGTGCTGGGAATGTCCATTAGAGTCTGCCATATTGTTACGCAGACCTCCTTCT